GAAAGGTTAAAATATTCACGTACCAGTGGCCTCTTGACCCTTCTCAGCAACCCGCACTGCCAGCCCGTCTGCTTCAATTTTGTCTGTACTGAAGGCCTGAATCCAACTGTGAACTAATCAAGGAGAGCAACTACACGTACAGAATGTTGGAATCTCATGTAATGGAGACAAAGGTTCAGGAGGATCACTGAACAGTTTCTGGGATTCAAGTTGATATTCCTGAGAGTCGATATCAGAGGCACCGTCCTCGACTCCAATGGATTTGAAGAGGGTTGTATCGAGGCCTTTCCTGCTGAACAAGAGCTCCAAACATTCCTGGGAGCCAACGTCGTCATCAAGGACGCGAGAATCTGCAATACTATAGATGTTGCTTCAAGAGTTAAAGTAAGTATACAATAATTGTGGGGGACACTGACATCTTGTTGGCTTCAAGTGCAGCTAAAAAAGATGAGCGTGGTTGGACACTGGGAGACTCAGATTCAGAACGACGTTGTTTAGTTGGTGACAGAGGGGGCGACTGATGCAACGCGTGACGGTAGTCCCGTTTGAACAACACATTCAAATGAGGATCCGACTTTCCCGCAGACATCGTTCAGTCACCGACGTTGACTGTTATAGTTATAAGAAAATGTTATTTGTATAATATTTCTTGAGAATTCATCCACGCGTGCGAGTCAAATTTGCAATGAGATGAAGAGCTTGGTCATGATGGCTGCTGAGAGATTTGCACAAATGTGCAGTCGAGCACAGCACACTCTACCTCGACACCTACACAATACACTACAATATGACCCACAGCTACACCTACACTTGCAGACTCATCACCATGACCCAGAACCAAGTAACGGAGGCAGGCGACAAACTGTATTCATTGGGTCGCCGCGGCTCCCCGCGCCTTAGTACCATAGTCTTACTTGCTTGCGGTTAATAAAGAGTTAAAAATAAAAATAAAAAAAAGATGGCTGCTGAGAATCTCAAGTTGTTTCGAACTCTTCATAATCTTTCATATTTCATCGAGAATTCTTGAAATCGGGACTTTCATAAATTCGACACATTATTCTCTTACGAATCGAGTCAAATTAGGTGCAGCAGTGTAGCAGTAACCTGTGCGATGCACAGCTTAGTTACGCTTGGGGCGTCGCTCTGCTCCGCCCACTTGCTTCCTTCGTCTGTGATGTCAATTGAACCCTGCACGACGCACGTGCATTTACGTGAAGACAAAATTTGTCTAGCCAATCGGAATGATTGGACCAAGCAGGGACAAACACATAGTTTTTTGTAGTGCTGATAGGCGCCCGCTTAGTCAGCTCGCGGAAAGTTTGGCATACCTCAAAGCAATGCTTCGCTCGCAGTAAATTGTAAACAACTATCGATCATGGCTAATCTCTTACGCTCCGCCAAGTCTGGCAGCGATTGGACTCAGAATGAGCTTAGAGCCTATAATATCGCTGTTCAATGGCAAGACGCAGTCACCTTCTTCGGTGTCGACCCTTTGCCACAACCTGCAGTCGCTCAGGAAGTCCTCACAACACTTGACGCAGACGATATGATTCTCGACGACAATTATAAACTCTTACGCTACATGGATTTAGCGATGAATCCTGCCCCAACTGAAGAGTCTGCCGTGGACGATTTTGCTGTTCACCTGCTGAAGCTGTTGGGATACCTGCCACGAAGTAGGATGGCTCGGACACGAGCAGACATTCCGCTCTGGATCTGTGGGGAACAATGTCACGCGAAAACTGATGTTTGCATCGTAGATTCCGATGACATTCTACTCCTTATCGAGGAGGATAAACGACACAAGGAGCTCAAGGATCCAGAACCGCAGCTCATCGCGGAAGCGATTGCTGCCTTTCAGATGAACAATTTCAGACGGGAGCGGCTACTTGGTCAAGCTCCCATCGCAAGCAAGGTTATTCCGGGCATTACCTTAGTAGGGTCGTCACCCACTTTCTACAAGATTCCCGTCACCACAGAACTTGCCGAAGCTGTTTCTCTCGGCGAGTACCCTACGCCCACCGTCGTGTTCGCTCACCTTCCGACGGTGCCTCGCCCGGCTCGGCGATGGAGTGAAGGTATGAAACCGCTAGACAACAGGGTCCACATCCTTCGATGCTACGAGGCGTTTAAGCAATTTGTCAACTGGTATGTTTCTTATGGCTCCTGTGATTTGATTAATCTAATGACCATATTAGAGTTTAGGCTGTAGGGGCCAGTGAGCTGATCGGCTGGCAGTGCTTTCATCTTTCCAGGTCAGTCAGATTAGCGCGCGTGAAGATTACACTACGGTATATAAGATCCTATTCCTTTTTAGTACCATTGCAACCGCATGTTACTACCGTCTCGATCTCCCCTATCCTGAACCTTACTCCTGCACCACTCAACCCCAATGCGCCACTTCTCCTGCCTCGTATTGAGGGCTACGAATAGCTCAAAGGAACGCTCATATTGAATGTGGCTGGGTGGGTATGAAAGTGGTTCCAGGCTGCATTTGTCATTGTTTGGCCTCCTCACCATGAAAATCTTGAACACCTTTCGACGTACTTTGCTCTACTCATACACTTTCCTGTGTGTTATTGCTGCCACTGGTTCCTGCCTCCCGCGTGTCTCGTCACCTCAGCCGTTGGTAACTTCCTTTGCCCTTTGTTACCTGCTATCTTCCGCACATGCATACCTTTGCCCTTACTAGATATCTTCGGACTTCTTATTCCGGACTATGCCTTTGCTCCAATACATCTAATGCGCGTGCATATTTACGAAGCTTTAAACCAATATTTCTCATGTCTTTCATTTGTTCTACCCTCCTCCTCCATCCACTGTGTCACGGCGTCGACGCGAAGCTCTAAAGCTATAGTCATTTTCCCGCCGGACCTGTTCTACCACTTCCATTCAAGTTTGGTACAAACTGCTGCCTCGCCGCTGTACCCTCTTTCATACATGACGGTGTTGGCTGTCCTCTACAATCTTCTGTGTTCCTTCTGTCTCCGAGTGGCCTGTCTCAATGTTCCTACCCACTGCCTGTGTTGCGCTTCATGTGCTATTATTCTCTTCACATTTAGATACCCTTTGCAACTAAGTCTGTACGTCTTTTCGATGCTGTCTTTAATTTCTCTTCCATTTCCATGACCCGTGTCTTTGTTCTTCAAGGGTCTCGTCAAATGGTTCATGGAATGCTTGTGTATTCAATATCTCTGTATTAAACATGCTAACCATATGTTAACAATACGAATGACTTAATATAGTGGTAATGTGTGTCGTGCATTCCATCAGGGAACGACACTTGTTAGATCTTATTGCAAGGACATGCAGGTTTATATAGGTACATACAAAGTAGTGGATAATATTCTCCATAGTAGACTATAGTAGTCAATAGTAGTCAATAACAATACATTGTCCTCCTCTTCCTGCAAGAAGAGCAAAGAATGGAGTTCTGAGTGGCTTTCACAGGTGAATTTGCAAGCAGCATATTAGGCCCTTGCAACTTTCAAGGTAGTGGTCTCTGCCACTTGCTGGTGCAGATTGGATATACAAAATAGTCTACTATATGCTATGGCACAAAGGTGGCTAAATATGATTCAAAAAGAAAAAAAAGGGAAATGTGACCAAGTAAGGTGTGTGCAGACACTAGTGGACTCAATGTGCATTAGACTCTCAAACTCGACATATATCCATGCTGACAACATGAGTTTGCATTTGATTCATTCAAACTCACAATCCAGGTTCTTGAATGCAGTTTTTGACAATGACACATACTCTCAACATTGAGCTTTCATTCTACCCTTCAGAGCTGGAAGATATGTGGCACCCATACCACTCATATCAATTCATCTGCAAAACCTGGATGTTTGCGAGAGCAAGGATACTAGCTGGAGAGTGCTGTTCAGCACTCAAAGCACTCCCAGCAGAGCCTGGACAAGGTTTCGGAAATCAGAATTTTATTGAACAACAGTGCTATAACAACAACTGGAGACCTATCTCAATAATTGTGGCATGAATTGATTAGGGTGTCCAGCACCCAGTCAATACTTAGTCAAGGGAAACAGTGTCCAGGTACCAGGTGTATCAAAATAGTGCAGTTAATTTACAGTGTTGGAGAATACTCCGTACATCTAGCTTTGATATTACCTATTACGGTATTTCTCTTCCTATCTATACTTTTGTTTGACTACTAATCTGCAAAACCTGTATTTTCGGCTAAGGGTCCGAAAGCAGTTGAGAGCACTTCCCAGCAGTGAAAGCACCCAGAGCATGTTGCTTTCAGTGCTTTTGGCACTGGGATCTGCTGGGATCTGCTCTCAGCCCTTAGCCGAATATCCAGGTTTTGCAGATGTACTCATCCTTTTATCTATCTATGTTCCGGCTTACCAAACCCGATCTAGTGATTGGGATTTATATATTTTTCGTTCCCTTAGCTATTCCCTCAGTTGATCTTTCCCGCTCAACTGAGGTATGTTTACTTATTTATATTCTTTTATTCGTACCTGTACTCATACAGACTTTAGCTTTATATATTTCTACAGGTACTAATTGAGTTGATCTTTCCCGCTCAACTGAGCTTTATATATTTCTACATACAGCACTGGTGTATGTTCTGCTCATGTGATTGGGTTGAACAAAATTGCTGTGAAATTAAGAGCAGAGGCAATAGCTGGGTTTGCCCCCAATCTATAAGTCCAACAATGTTCACCCCTCCAGAGTGCAATAAAGTCCAGACCTCATTACTGATCTCAATGTTCCACTGCCTGGTTGTGCAGGAGGCCGCTAACAAGGCAGTTACTAGAAGCACTGTACAGATTCATTAGCAGTCTCATGACTCGGAGCTACCCCATCTCGGATAAAGGATGGGCATCTTGGCATGGATTGCTGAACCCTTCTGTATGGCAAATGTTTGAAAAGAAGTACTATGAGGACCAGGAGAATGCTGGTCGCGAGGGATTTGACTGTTTTTTCCCTCTGTTTGACTAGTTATGATATATCTTCTCTGCAACAAACTCATTGCCCCCGTTGTCTAATGGTTATGACGTCAGACTTCTAGCTTACGTAATGAATCTGGAGGTTATGGGTTCGAGTCCCATCGGGGGTTGCTCGGGGTTATTTCTCTTAACTTTTTTGTGAATCGGGATTCTTTGTATAGTATATAACAAATATGTATCGTATATGGGCACAGAAGGTAGTATAAGTTGTGAGTATCAGGGTGATTCAACTCCATTCTGTTAGGTCGAGTCGACCTATGATTACAGCTCATTCAATTCCGGCCGGTCATCACTTATTTGATCAACGGGGACTGTCATTTACAAGACTGTGTACTACTAAAAACATGTGCAATAATGAGCGTCGTCTAGCTGGACTGTATTGGTATCGTGAGTGGAAGCGAATCAAGGCAATACCGGAGCAGTCCAAAGTTGGACAGGACCACGTTCACCATTAGCAATGACAGAGTACTTCCCAATCCGAGCGCATTCCCTTGCTTTCTCACTATTTTGCGGCCTTTGCAGATGTTTGTTGATGTCGTTGACCTCGCCAGAACACCCGATACACCAGAAGCCCTCTTTTCTTCCTCCTCTTATATTTCGCTACCTCCATGTCGGGCGACGGAAGGAGAAGACGTTTGACCTTGTAATGTTTACCTGTACTTGCTAGTGGCATACGATGAAATTTGATGAAATGAATCACAAGTTCTTGTTTGGTGAAACGGTGGTGACCGCAGGAGGGGACAGGACATAGATTTTCGGATTCGGTAAAAAGCGGCCGATGAATGTGATTGAAATGCTCCATAAAATGGAAGACGTCACTGAATCTAATGCCACAGATGAGAAATGAGCAAACGGCAAATAAAAGGGTATAACTAACTGATGCATCCGCGTGTACATAGGCAATTTTTCGTCAAACACACAACTTGGGCAGAAAGCAGGGACAAGAGCGATGCCATCGGAGAAATGCCCATGGAATTCAGGCAATTCCCCATCGAATCCCGATCCAGCAGTGTATTCGATATATTTTTCGGTTTCGATGATCCCAATAGGCGAGAGAGAGACACTAGCACCCTCCGGAGGCCGTGAACTGAACGAGTCGAATAGCTCCTGGTAATGAGCAAGATGGTGATTGCTGAACACTTGTCGGTCACCAAGGATGTCGTAGAGCCTGAAAAGGCAGGTAAGGACTTCAAACAAGCTGTGTATATGTCCAAAGTTATAGCCCAAGAATTTCTCTGAAAATGGAACCGGACGCGCCGCGCCATATCTCAGGCCGTACCCAGCTTTGAGGTGGGTAGTTCATTTTCGGAGCAAGTCTCGGGCTACAGCTTGAAATCAACTTTGGATCCTGAGCGCGCGTAACATTGCGAGTAGTGGTCGAGGGTTCTGCTCTCAGGCGAGTAGCGTCTTTGAATGACGAAATGTCCAATTATAGTTGTTGGGAGGAGGAAGAGGGGGAAAGGGGGTGGAGTGTGGAGAGGTGCGAGGAGGGGGTGGAGGTGGTGATGTAAGGAAGAGCTGGAGCGGGTATTGGGACGGGAGAGGAGCTTGTGCTTCGGATTGGACGTAGAAATCCGCGGAGGTAATAACGCGAGAGAGGTTTGTAATTCGTTGTCGTTGTCGTTGTCGTCCTCGTGAATAAGGACGCGTGATTGTGGAAGGGGTGTTCGTAGATTGTCGTTTACCCATTGCTGTCATGGTGTCTTGCGAGGCCTATACCGGAAACACGCTGTGGAAAACCCAACCACGTCCTGGCTTTCCTACTGGTGTCCCGATAATCCCTATCACTCCTCTCAAAACATCTTTTGACAGCCAATCAAAATCATTGTCCCGCACTCAACTGCCACTACGTTTAGCATGGGCCGTTACAGTGCATAAATCCCAAGGACTTGCCATGCCACAAATTCGTCTTGGTCTAGGAAAGCGAGAGTTTTCAACTGGCCTCACATTTGTTGCTCTGTCTCGAGTTAAAAGTCTTGCTGAGATTCTCTTTGTGGATACTCTTGACTACAGCCGTGTCAAGAAACTACGTGGGAAACATCTCGGACAGAGGTTAGAAGATATAGAGCGAAGATACATGAGGATGTAGTTTTTAACTTCTTCTTCTTCTGTTAAATAGCGGATGAGACGAATGCAGGTAAGAACTAAACAAATTGTAAAAATCACGTGCAAACAAAATATACGTACCGGACCGCTTGATCCTGGAGCTGAAAAAAAGCGGATCGGTGAGTTGAAGATCACGGCGCTTTAGTCTTCATAGATTGGGACAGGTTCCGAGATATCTATCAGGACACATCGGTGATCCTCACGATACCAGCTAGACGATGCTCATTATAGGTCGACTCGATTAGGCAAGGAAGGGAGTTTTGCCTTTTTGGACTCGGACACGAAAAGGGTAGGTCGACTCAATGGTGTTGTTTCTTTTTTTTTCTTACCAAAAAGCAAACAAAGCTCTCGCTGCCTTGACAATAAAGCCGCTTCTCGCCGGGTTCAAGTTAATGGTAATAAGTGCTTCCAAATTTTTCGAGCGCAATGCGTTACTCTTTCGAGTGCAAATGTCGCAAAACGCCAGTTATAGATTGTATTCTAAAGTGAATAAGAGTGAAAGTACAGTATGTCGTGTAGGAGATGAGATGATCGTGCCAATGGCGGGACGAAAATGGAAGAAACACCGTGATCATGAATGCTTAGTGAGAGAATAATATATCGATGCTATGATTCCGACCTGTATGTAGGTATGCCCTAACTCAATCTAAAAGGAGTAATGAACAAAATCCTCGTGAATGGGTGACTATCATTGTCGAGATGTTAGTTGTCTTATTGAAAACGCGCCGTCAACGTCGAGACATTAGCCTGTATGTCGTATACCCTCCAATGACAGCAAAAGCAGCGAGGCATGCGATAATCGACACAAACCATGCATAACCGGGAGCATCCTCGCCAGGTACGTGCACATTCATACCCCATAAACCTAAAATCGACAAATAAGAGACAAGATCAATTTGAACGCCGCTCTACACTCAAGACATGCTGACAGGGGATCGGGGAGAGAGGGAAGATGCTTACCGGTGACCAGGTTCATAGGGATGAGAACCGTACCCAGCGCGGTGAGCTTGCTCAAGACATCGTTGATTTGGTTATTGGCTTCAGTCATTTCAATGGAAATTTGAGCGAGGTAATTCGAGTGTGACCTCGAGAGAATTTTTTCATAGTGGTTCAATGACTGAGTCATGGTGATCAAGTGGTCCTTGAAACGAGCGAAAAGGTCAGTCTCGCAGACGAAACCAAAAATGCGTGAACTTACTTGAATATCTGATAGATAAAGACCCTGGAATACGGAGACCATTCAGCTTAGTTAATGCATACAGGTGAAACATTCGCACAATATCACTCGTCGGAGCAACCTGCCAGTTCTCATTACACCTCTTTGCCAAACCCTTCACCACGTCCGCTTTATTGCCCATTAAACGTAACAACCCCATAACTTTCTTTCTACAAGTCCCAATTCGTCTCAACATATCGCTTTGCTCAGTGCTGTCCTTTAATATTAAAACCAGCTCGTCGATAGAGTCAACCTCGTATTCAATGCTCTGGATAAGAGGTCCAAAAGCATCGGTGATGTCATCGATAAGAGCATAAGAAATCCAGTCAGAGGTAACAGATATATAATCTTTGAGTTGTTTGATCCGTCTTCGAACTGAAGACGGATGAGGTGTTGGGCGGAAGTGGAACTGTGAGCGGAACGGAACGTCAATCAAGTAAGCAGACGGTATTATCGAACGCAATTGCTTACGGACAAAGTTCCCTCTCTGAAAACAATGATGTACATATTCAAAGGTTCCAAGTATGTGGGACTGTATGAATCCTGATCGAAGCTTCGAAAACACACAAGATAGTAATTTCTGAAAAGCTCTATCTTCTCGCGCGTTTCCTCCATTTGAATGTCTTCAGTAGTGAGCGGGTGGATGCCAAACGCCTGACAAGCCGTGAAGGGCATTGATCATTCATCACAGACCAAGCTCACCTTGCTCAACATCGTCATCTCCTCATCGGTTGGGCTGAGTACATCCAACCACCATGTGCAAGATTCTGGATCTGCACCCTCGTAGCTTGAAAAACCTAAACCACCACCGAAGCCCGGTCGACTTCTGTAAGTAGGCTTCACGTTGCCAGGAAAATATCCTTTTGGCCCTGCACTCGTTGGTCTCTTGTCCTTGTCTTTCGCGTTAGGATCACTCCGATCTCGATTGATACCTGCAAAAAGATCCTCGAACGTCTGTCCTTCTGCAGGAATCTCAGACAGACTTCGAGCGTGTATAGTGGAGGGGAGTGCATTGGAATAAAATGAAAAACGGTAGGGTCGATCATGTCCTGCGTTGAGACCAGGTACTGAAGGATATTGTGTGGCGGGAATGGTAGCTGGACGAAATAAAGAAGGGGAACCGTTGTCGAATGAAGGCAGGTCAGTCGCGATGGGAACGCCGATTGCACTGGCGTTACCGCCAGGCCCAAGAGAAAACGGAATTCGATTTGGACCCGAGGAACCGCCATGTGTATTTTCAAACAGGGCAAGTTTCCCCCCAATCCCTTTTCGATGAGAGCGCGGATGCGAATTACTTTGACTAAGCTTACGCTGTCGAATTGGGGTAGAGGACGAAGCCGCAGCTGAGTCATCCGCGGAGTCGGTGGTTTCACCGCTTGTGACCGGAACATTAGTAGAAGCAGGTCCGGCCACATCTGCAAAGGACGGTAATGGAGGCGCTTGCCTGGGGAAGAACACATCATCCGTATTTTGTCGGTTTCTGGGAGGGGGGAGGCTAAATTTCGTCGTGTTGTGTGAGGGAGAGATGATTCCTAATTTGAGCCTTTCAGAAGCAGCAAAAACTTCCATAGGAGCAAAGTTGAAAGCAGACTGGGACATGTTTGCTTGGTAGGTCGGAAGAACTCCGTACGCAGATGTAGATGGATCGTCTCGGTCGGCAGATGGATGCACAGCGCCATTTAATGAAACGAGTAAACTGGGATCATGGGATTGAGGCAAGAGATCTCGGAGGTCAACGGGTGAAGGTTGCCGTTTGTTAATGATAGATTCCAAGTCATCTATCTCCTC